ATCGTCCTCATCAATGAGCTTTATCATTATATTATATAATCTGAACTTACATGAAAATAGTTGACTAGTTTCCTTTAAAACCAAGGGATGAACATCTTTTAAAAAAAAATAAATTAATTAGATATCTACTAAAATAATTTGGTTGTTTTGTGTGGGACCCTATTGACTATTGTCTATTGACCCTCTAACCGAAGCTCTGATCAAGTACATGTCAAGTCATGAGTAGGCCTACATGTAGGTCTGTACAGTGAAAGCTTGTCAACCTTTTTATGTTATGTAGACAACGCCCACTTTTGCCTCCTTTAAGAGGCTAATTTTTTGGTGCCGCCCACCTTCGTGTATTTCAAAGAGGGCCATAAAATAGCTCGGGTGATCCCCATCGCACTTCAAAATGACTAAATCGCCCACCATGGTTTAGTAGTGTCTCTCGTGCAGCACTGCTAAATATTATATAGGACGAGCATCTTTGCAGTGCATGTACAGCTGAGCCTGCTCTGACGGTCCCCTGTATAAGACAACCACCTGTACAAACGGCCGGTTCCCATTACTCCACTTGCAGTTGTTTTTTTCTTCATTATACTGACACTGTGTAAGATGGTCACCTGTCTAAGACAACCACTTTTCTCCTCAACTATAGGTAGAGCCGTCTTAAATCGTTTCGACTTGTTTCCGTTGTATTTGATCTGGCAGTTGCCTAGACGTTATTGGCCATAGATTATCAACTCAACCATGACAATTTGACGGGGTCTGTCTCTGTATTGATCCAAGACACTTCATAAATGATTCCTAGTGTTTTCTCCGTCCCTAGTTACCGTGTTCTCGGCGAGCTGATTTCATTTAGGGAGTGGGGGAAGATCGGCATGGATGCAGTGAGGAGGTGACCGAGTTAATTATGACTTCTTTTTTTGTAGTAAGAGTTTTTCGGCGTCGGCAACTGAGCACGCTATTATGACATTAAAGAATTACAGTGAATAATGTTTTGCCTCCAGCCTAAGGAGATAAACCCGTAACGGTTCACCAAATTCCGTGCCTCCAGTTTGATCTTCTTCGTACCGACAAAGGCTTCAAATAATGTTTACCCCCTGATCCTCCCCCCACCCCCCACCCCCATCTGTCTTTGTGTACTGGCATCTGTGAAAACAATGAGGTTTGAGGAAATCTTCGAGAAACACAACCCTAGCTGTTCTGCGCTATCGATTTTGTATTACATACATGTATATCTTGGGCTTCTGTGATATGATCATCCATGGCATAGATGTTAAAAATACATTTGCCTAGTTAATCAAACCATGGTATAAAAAGAATTTTAAAATTTTTGGTCCACATGACATATTATTATTTACCTTTTTATTATAATTGCCCTAACACGAGATGCTGCCTTATTACTGACTTTTTGTGTATGTTTTTATACCTTGGAGGCTACTCACAACTAATTATTTTCACCACCTGTATCTTTTTATTGTTTTAGCTAGTCGCAGCATTAAACTTTTCCCCCCATATAAACTCGTTGTGTATTAAGTTTTATCTCACACCTCTATAACAAGGGCAGTTTAAAAAAAGAGCAGCCATCTCATTTTTTAAGGTTTGAAGACATTTGAAGGTTGTTTTTAAATTTAATCTAACTGCCCCTCTAAAGTGAGACTTTGCTGATAAATGGAAACTGATAAGAATTCAAACTGTGAAATTCTCTCCCATCGACAATTTAAGATACAAGTGTATTACTTTTGATCATGATAGAATTGTCCAATATAATTTGACAGTGCTCGAAAGTACTAACCTTTTGATAAGTGGAGTGGTTTGTTGCAGAGGTCATGGTTTCTAAGTAGGTTATTTAGGGTGGGAATTTTGTTAAGACTTTTTGTTAGAAGGAACCTGATGGAATAGCACAGCCATTTGCAAAACCCCTCTGCAGATGTTATTTACATCACCCTTAGTAATACTAATTATCGTCCTCATCAATGAGCTTTATCATTATATTATATAATCTGAACTTACATGAAAATAGTTGACTAGTTTCCTTTAAAACCAAGGGATGAACATCTTTAAAAAAAAAATTAATTAATTAGATATCTACTAAAATAATTTGGTTGTTTTGTGTGGGACCCTATTGACTATTGTCTATTGACCCTCTAACCGAAGCTCTGATCAAGTACATGTCAAGTCATGAGTAGGCCTACATGTAGGTCTGTACAGTGAAAGCTTGTCAACCTTTTTATGTTATGTAGACAACGCC